GTTGGGTAATCCATGTACTGAGAATGGTTTGGTTATGCTTAGAAATGCTGTGCATTTGAATGTAATGTGAATGAATGCGGGCATATGTGCCGTGTGTAAACTTAAATGCAAATTGTGATAAGAATATAGCTGAAATGTGTGTGAAAGGGCATGTTAAATGCGATTGTAAATATGCTATGAATGGTTCAGCGATATACTGGAGGTGTGAAAGATGAGGACGGTAGAAATACCTTGGGGAAGAGAGAGTGGTAGTGACACGCACAGTGAATGTGGGTGCATCACAGGCCACACACTATCTTCCCCGACTAGACCTCTGACTAACACCTTTGTCGAGCGACTCGTAATCGTACACTGTACATGTAGTGTGTGAATCTTTGATCACAGTGTCCCAATGAGCGTGGCTACGTGCAGTGAACGCACGTGTGTGTAAAATGTTTGGTGCCATAAGTGCATCGATTGTAAATTGAAATGGATGGCTTGAAAGTGTTGCCTGTAATTGATAATACTTGAGTAGAATATGTTAGAATACATGTGAATGTGCAAGGTGAGTCTCTCTATTGTTTGTGTGATGGATAGTATAGAGTACTCATCCTTACATTTGTTTTTCAGATTACCAAGACAATCAGCACCAGGTTCAATGAAGGGATTGATGAAACTGCTATAGAGCTTAGATTTTATTTTAAAAATTTGATATAATTGAATTGGGCCCATAACAGTTATTGATATAAAACTTGTAATCCCTTATTATTTTGAAAAACTTTGATGAAATTCTATATTAGAAAATTATATTTAAATGAAATTTTAATTATTTTCATTTTGTGAAATTTATTATTTTTGAAATTAAATTAAGGTGTTACAGTTCTCACTTGGATTTGGAAGAAGTTCGACCTTGAGAGAGATTTCTTTGAGTGAAAAGGGTGAGAGAACAAAGGGGAGGTGAGAGGGGTTGGTGGTTTGATGAGAAATAAAGGTTTTCAGCTCAAAACCCCTTAAATATCCCTCAGTTCGCGATATTCTCACTACAACAAGGCTCTCTTGCTACAGTGAGATATAACAATGAAACCTTTTTGCTGTCTGTCATTTTTCCTGCAGCAAGAAGCTCCTCGCTCCAGCAAGAATTTATTGCTTCAGCGAGAGTGTTAATTAGGTCAACCTTATCCACTCTTTGCTACAGCAAGAGAGCTCCAAAGAGCCTTACTTTAAACGACTTGTTCTCGTTACAGTGAGATATCCTGCAGTTCTACATCAATTCAAAACCCACCAAACTCACACAACATGCATCAACTTTTTACTCGGCAACCATACAACTCATATATACATGAATTCAAGTCATTTCATGTCATAAGCAACATACAACAATGCATTTAAAATACAAGGACGTCATAATTAATTGGTTACAACATCAATTTTAAAAGTAAATAAGCATACACATAATGTAGGCCTAATAGAACATCTCTCATTTATTGCAAGCTTGTCTAGGTTTACTTAAAACATAACGAATTTTTCTATTGAAATTTTTTTTTTATGTGTGTAAAGATTTTCTCTGCATCAAGAATGTTTTTTGTCCTTTGTCTTTTTGCAATATTGTGAAATGCACAAGGATAAGAAAAAATTTGTGTTTTTATCTTTCACAAATGAATGCAATTTTGTTCTTCTTGATGTCATCCTTAGTTAACTCCTTAAGCTTAATAGTTTTTTTTATTTTCAAATATTTGAACTTAGTATTCTTAACTTTCAATTTGAACGATCTTTCTTCTTAATCAACTTAGCACATGTATCTTTCTTGTTTTAATAGATTTTTTATGTTTGATTGGGCAATCTATTGAATTGTCTTACGAACATTGTAAGCCATTTTGATGTTCTAACCTTGCCTTGTTTTCAGACAATATGATTTTTATTAACTACTTGGATGATTTGCAGTTGAATTGTCTAATAAACAATACTAAAACCCTTGAACATATTTGTTTGAAGCACCAAATAAAGGTTAAAATGTTTTTCATAGCGTAAAACTTATACCTTTCATCTTTTGGTAATTTTGCTTTCACACTTGTTTATTATCTTGACTTTAATCCAAACATGACTAAGTAGCTTTTCTCATTCCAGGTTTGAGAGTAGTCTAAATTAAAATTGATGACGTATAATGAATGTTTTATAGTCTTTTGTTAGTTTTAATTTTCTTGATTTAATTTTGATGCTCTTTGACTTGCAAATTTGTTGGGTCCCTTATTGGCATGATTTTCGATATTAAGAAAAATGATTGAAAGATGAACTTTACCATTAAATCTGAGATTATAGACCATGCAAGTAGGTCACGTTTCTTAAGAAATCACCAAATCATTATGATACTTAATGAGTTTAATTAGATATCATTACCATGCAAGTATGAATTAGTCTAACTAAACACATTATTGTATCATAAAAGGGAATCACGTTAGAATAATTTGCCTTTAAGAGAAATCAAGAATTAACATAAGGTCCAATTTGATTAAGTTCATCTCATTTCTACTTTGTGGTGAAACTAATTCCTAAAAATTTATTAGAATTTGATTTCATCATTTTTAAATTAATCACACTTTTAAATTATTTCTCTTTATCCTTGTTTTATATATATATATATATATATATATATATATATATATATATATATTACCTTATCTCATTAATTGAATGCATTTAGATATTTGAATTGCAATATTTAGTAATTAGCGACATAATTCTTGCGGAAAAAAATATCTTACTTACTACTCAATTGTTCACTTGCAATGCATTAGTGGCCTATAAGTGTGGAACCACCAGTGTGAGGTACTTTACAATCCCCATCCAACTCTTATTTTTTTTACTTCCATATTTTCTCTTAAGAAGAATGCTAGCAACACTATTTTTAACATATTCATTTCAACAAATTATTATTTATTAGTTAAAATTTATTGAAAGCAACAAAAATATGAGAAAAAAATATTAAATTAAGAGTGAGAAAAAGTGAGATCAACTCAACTTTTGTAATTTTTAATAAATTTTAACTAATAATTAAAAACTTGTTAAAAAATGTATTAAAAAGTGTGTTGCTAGTATTTTTCTTTTTTGTTTGGTATAAGGGAATGGGGTGGGGAAGGGGGGAGGGAGAGTGTACTTTTAATGTGGGACACAATTTTAGCTCTAGTCCTTACATTCCATGTCTTTCTAGCTTACCACTAAGCAATTACAGGAGGGAATAGGCCAAGTCAAGCCAAGCATTAAGCAGTTGGATTGACTTAGGTTCAAAAACCCATCACAAAACTTTGGTTCTACTTTGTCATAGCAATTGGCTACGCTATTGGATTTGGGTTGTGATTGCAAGCTTATTGATGAAGAGGAGTTGGAGACATGCTTACTTTCAATGCATTGATGAGGCAATAGGCAGAATAAATGTAACATTTGCATTACAGTAAGAAAAATGTTTAAGAGAAAGATGCGTTGGTTGTTGAGTGACTGTCTTTATGCCTTTTGTATCTGTTTTATGCCCATGTAAGATTTCAAGTTTATTTTGCTTGCTTAGCAGTTGCTTCACCTCTTAACCAATAATGCTAATTGCAAAATTCCCATTTTCATGCCAGTAGCTTACTGCTGTATTACTCTAAATTAACTACTAATTGCCAATATGTAAGCTTTAGCTTTCCTATTCATCTATAATCTGAATCTTGCTTCATTATTTGGAGTAAGATAATTAGAGGAAAAAATATGATTGCACAAACACTACTTAACGTAGCAATCATAGATGATTGTTATGGTAATAGGTACCCGAGAAAAATATTATCAAACCATTCATTGACAAATGATTTTATAATGAACATTTAAAATCCAAGTGATGTCCCATCATAATGTTATAGCTTTAGTCATAATGGCATGAATTTAAGACACATTTAGAATGGAGAAAGATGAAACATTAGGTTACGTTGTCTCTAGAAGGGTTACACTACAGTTCTGATTTGCATACTTCCGGTGGAAGACCTAAAAGACTCCTAATACTGTGGAGAATATGCCACAAGAGAACATCTTCTGACTAGGATTAGTCAGAAAAGAGATGCTAGCTGTCTTTACTATTACTGAGCATTTAGCTCAAGATTTTCAAGTTCATATTAATGTATACGCCCTGTAAACATTGTTGACTCACAATAGCAATGAATGACTTGTAAACATAGGACAACTTGCAGTTAGAGAAAGCAGGTTCAGCTAATTATGTTTTAGTCACTGTAATGGTTTATATCAATCATTTGATATATAACATCAAAAGAATGCTTTCTTCTACAGAGCATTAAATTTTGTATTGACTACCATAAGTTTGATTAAGAACTTCACTTTTTATTCTTCAATCAATGTCCTTGAAACAATGATTGCATTATCATTGAATTTACTTCTTGCTTTCCCGTCTCTGTCCATCTAATTTAGCATTCAAGTTGAACTGTTTCAGTGTCTGCGGTTAATTGCTAACTTTGAAGCATTTAACATTTAACAATTGTTTAACATGCTACGCATTCGACAATAATGATTTGAATAATGATATAAATAATATATTTTGGTTAAAAACTAAACAATTTTTTAAACCTGTCTAAAGACACATGCCACATGATAAGAAATAAAAAAAAATTATTAAAAATTATAACATTCAATGTTATTATTATTATTACAATTGAATTATACGATATCTTGTTATTTTCAATAATAATTACTCTATAAAAGCTTTTCTTATGTGTATTGGACACACGATGAAAAACTGAAAAATAAAAGTAGAGTCCAGTGTACGGCTAAACCTTTGAGCTTACAGTAAAGACACAGGATATAAAAGAAGAATAGGACAATGTTAATGTCCAGTAGCATAACCAATGAAAGACTCCACAGGTAGTGACTGATACATGGGAAACCTCGAAGACAGAAAATTAAAGGTCTCTCAAAGGCCCCAGACATGCAGTTTCCCACCCCTAAGCATTATAAATGTGCACACAGCGAGAGAGAGATGTTTATATAATACTAAACCTTCCTTCATGTGAGGAAGAATCAATATGAATGAATAACCATTTTATGTTACAACTGGTACATGAGGTTCAATGATGGTTACCAAAGTATTTATGAACCCAAACACTGTTTGTGAAGGACTTGTATGAATTCCTGTATTGAAGGATCTAATCTGCTCCTTGTGATATCGTAGACCAAATAAAAAATAAAAAGAGAGACAAAAGCAGCTAAAAACTCTAACTCTTACAATGGTGATGCAGTGGCAGTGGAGTGATACATGTTGGCAAAACACAACAAAAACTAGCCAAAAACAACATAACTCTTACAATGGTGATGCAGGGCCTGTGGAGTGATACATGTCGGCAAAACTCAAGCATAAATGGCGGTCTCTATTATCACCCCAACCGCCCCAACCCTTAAACCCGGCTTTATAACCAGGCTGATTTTTGTAGGTGTGAACTTCCCAATCTGATTTAATGTTAGAAACTGTGTCAAGATCTTCCACATTAATATTCACCATGCCATTATCAATGCAAGCGTTTTTCTCCCCCTGACCCTGATGCAAACCACATTTCCCAAAGTGAACGGCACTAGTCCTAGGACCACGTAACGTGTAAACAGGACTACCAAATGAGGGATAAACAGTTGCCCACATTGTGATATCCCAATTATAGTCATCAAAGAAACAAAATTCTCTAGCCTTGTTGTGTATTTTCCTCCAAACAGTTCGATTGAAAGAGTAACCTATATTCCCCATTCTCTCTGCAATCAAATTTGCCCATCCTTCACCTCTTGAGTTCACATCCGAAGGTGCTAAATTTGCCGCATAACAATCGGGGCATCTTTTAGGCTTCAATGAAGTTAGAACCTGTAGATTGCGATACGCGTTGGGAAATATGAAGTGGTCTTCTTCAATGAAAAGAATATGACCAGAATGCTCTCTTGTCTCTCTCAATCCATCCCATACCGTGTTCATCATCCACCACCAATGATGCTTAAGTGACACAATCTTTGGGGAGCGATGGTTTCCATACTGATCAGGATTCCCCTCACAACGTTTTTCTTCAGCATCATCTTTGTCCTTGCAGTCATTAGCCGAGACCCCAGGAAAACTATCAAAAAACAGATGGGGCGAATAAGGAGCATATATCTGTTTAACTTGACAAAATCTGATACCATCAATGATCTTGTTCATCTCCTCAAAGTACCCATCATGACTAATAATTAGTAAGGTCTCACTAATCCCTACCACCCGCGAAAGGCTCTCAACAACCACTTTAAGATACTGGGGCCGATTGTGAACGTACAGAACTACAATGATATGATCCTTGGCCAGAGTTGGAAACAAATCCAAGTTCCTTGGAAGCAACTCATTTAGCTTTTCCAATCTAAGTGACAAGTCATTTTGTTGGGGGAGATTGTGCCCCTTTGCAAACTTCAAGTCACGATGGAATGCATCAACATTGTCTAAACTATGAGTCACAACACTTGATGTTGAATTTGATGCAAGGAGAAATATCAGCAGCAAAACCCCACATAAAGTAACAAACACCACAGATAACAAACGGCACAAGGCCACATCTCTAAGTCTAAGGCGTGGTTTCTTGGAAGCAACCATAACAAAACTAACCACACAGTGACAATCCACAAAGCATAAAAAAGATTCTAAATTCACTTACAAATTACAACAAAGATTCAGCATCAAATTGATAACAAGGCATGAACCAATCTCAGAGCACAAGATTAGACCAAAACCATAGCAGTACACAGAAACCATTCCTGTTGAGCACTACACAGAACATAGCAGCTACGAAGTTTCTCCAAATTTATTTCCATTCCTGTTTGGCAGTAGTACAGAGAACATAGCACAAGATTAGGCAAAAACCATAGCAGCTGCGAAAGGAAATCTCGGAGATTTGAGAAATTGACAAAAAAGAATTGAAGATGAAAGAGAACGTGTACACCTAAACAGGATATAATCTGACACATGCAAAATCCTAGGAACAAATTTCTTGGTCCTAGCAGTACAATAGTGTTAAGACATGAATATAGCAAATTGACATAATGAGAACAAAGTTGTACCATACCCAAATTAGTCCCCCATCCAATCCTACCCTATGAAAAATGCAATTGGACGTGGTCAAGAGAACAAGTCACAGATTGCTATCTATCCAATGGATCTTGTCATAACCAGGTTACAGACTTGGTGCTTCTGAGAGTGGAAAGGTTCCAAAGCTTGACACACTTACAAAGGATATAGGGGTCCAAGAAGGTCTTGATGGTCCAATTTAACAAAGGCTTGTCTTCATCGGGGAAGAAACCATGGCTCAAGGACATTTGATCAAAGAGGCAAGGGAGCACCAGCAAATCAAACGAAAAACACAGAGCAGCAGCAAACACAAATAGAGTAAAAGAACACAGTCCACAAAGGTGGAAGCACAATGAAACTGGACCACAAGACTATATTGGCAGGGTCCTTGCTTTGTTTTTGGGCATAATAATAATAATAATGATTTTTTTAACCTGAGCCAGTGATTCCACAAAGCATAAAAAAGATTCTAAATTCACTTACAAATTAAACAAACACCACTTAAGCATCAAATTGATAACAAGGTATGAACGAACAGTCAAAAATTGATATAACAGAAAAGCAAAAACAAAATAAAATAGATTTTAGGTACCAAAAACCTATGATGATGGCTTTGATATTACGGTTGAAGCAGCCACAGCCAAAACCCAATTAAGTTGGAACTAAAGAACAAAACTTTGCACTTACCCAGGCACCCGGAAGTAGAATCAGAAGGTTTTGGGAGCAAAAGGTTCAACACCCATCTGGGTACGGGATCATAATGAGGAGAGATAAAAAATGAAGAAGAAGAGAAAAAGGTGAAGACTTTGAAGAGTAAACCAAGTTTTTTTTTTTTTTTTTTTTTTTTTCTGTGGAATCAAACTTAAAAAACACGATAGAAAGAGAGGTTTCAACTGCAGGCAAAGGGCGATGAAAACACCAAAATTTGTCTATTTTGGGTTTGGGTTTGGGTTTGGGTTTGGATCGGGTCGGGTCGGAAATTGAATCCGAATACAAACAAGTCAGTCAAGTAAAAATGATAATGTTGCATCATCACAGACCTAGAAGTCAATGTTTTACTTCTGGAACTCATACTTCACACGGCATGGAAATGTTCCGATCTAACTAGACATATAAATCACGTTCAACAATTTTAAATTACTTTTAATACAAATAAGTACTTAATTTTTGGTGCATGTGTTTTTTATAAGTATAAATGTAAGATTACATATGTGAATTATATTTCAACTCGTTATTTATTCCCAAGTCACTTCGATGAGTACTCACTCTAACTTTTGTTTTGGTAATTATTAACGTTTTTGCGTAAAGTGTCTTAATGTGAAACTTGTTAATCAATGTATGAATTAAAGAGATAAAAATTGTTCATTAATGATTAGTCGTGTTTTATATTTTGGGACTTTTGTTATGATTTGGTAAGGACACTTCTATAACCCGGAATGGAAAATATCATTATCATCTGGATTTTCCCAAATTACAATTCTATTTTATGTACCTCACTGTATTAATGAGAACGGTAATGATAACTTTAAATAAATTTGATTATATACATTACACAATATTATTAAATTTAGTCAAAAATTAAATTTTAATTCATTTATTAAAGTTTTTAAAAGTGAACTGGCCAATCAATTAATGAAGACATCAATTTATATTTCATTAGTTTAAATGTAATTGAATTAAAGTTGTACCAATAATAATAAAATATAGATTTTTAATATTATAGAAAATATTAAGTAATAACCGAATTTAAAATTACTGTAAAATGATCTTCTTTTATACTTTATAAAATATAAATAATAATGATTTAAATATAAATATCACTTATGGGTCATTATTTAATCAAAACATATTTTAGAATAAAAAATTGGAAATAAGTAAATAACAAAGAAATTATTTATTTTATGAAGCAACCGATTCAAACTGAATATTTACACCAAATTTGTTCAGTTTAACCGATTCTTAATTCACTTTCTGCTTCATTATTTTTTAAAGATAAACAAATTAATTATTTAATCAGTTTAATATCGTCTTTATATATATATATATAAAGTATAAGTGTTTATGTAAGATTAAGCATGTGAACTTTATATTGTAACTAGTTATTTACAGAGAAGTCCTTTTCATGACTAATTATTCTAACTTTTGTTTGGTATTTATAAATGCTTGTGCGATAAAGTGTTTTAGTTTGAAATTTGTTAATTAATGTGAAAACAAAACTGTCCATTTATGATTCTTGCGTTTTAGCTTTTGTATTCTCTGTTATTATTTGGTTAGGAAAGTTTAGTGAAATCAAATGAAAGATGTATTTATCATATGAATTTTCCCAAATTGCAATTCCATTTGGTGTACTGAGATACGGAATTACGGATGGTTTTTTTTTCTTTTGTTCTTTAAAATATGTATCACATTTATTATTTATTATATGAATTTATATGCTTAGTGAAAATATAGATGTCATAATTTTATGTATATGATCTCTCACCAAAACTTTACTTTTCTATTATTATTATTATTATTTATTCAAAAAATTTCATCTAACTACACTTAATAACATTAGTTATCAAACTATCTCTCTTTACATGTCTAATTTTTTTATTAACTTTATATCTTTTTTTTTTAAAGACTTCAATTTCTTCTACAAATCTACGGGAACATATTTTTTATTTTATTTCTTCAATTTTACTTATAATCATTTATCTTTTCTTCAATTTTACTCTTAATTTTCATTTATTTTGTATTATTTTATAAGTATTATAATTTTATTGAATTACTACATTCTAAATACAAATAAAAATATTGGTTTTATATTATTATAAAAGTTTTTTCTTTTTTACTAACATGAATATTTTACTTTTTAGAATTTTAAATAATTTATGAGCTGTGATAGGATGGATTGTTAAAATATATTAAAGAAAAAATTAATACTCATATGTAAAAGCTAAAATATTAAATAAATATTTTAGTTTATTCTTTAAAATAAATGTACATAACTTTTGGAACTTAAGATTTTTATATTATATTAATTTTTTATTTTAATAATTATTTATAATTTTAGATTTAGTTAAATTATTATATATGATCTGAAGTTAAATACTCAACTCTAATCAAATCACTTCACCATTGTCATTTTGTGCAAATCTACTATGAAAAAAAATATTTACCAAGCCCACCAGTCTTCATAGCCATAAGCTTTATGCCAATTATAAATCTCTTATCTACTCTGGATAAATTGTGACTTGGACTAACCTTAAATTTAGATGTAACTCTCAGCACCAACTGTTATGCAAATGCATTTTCACTACTTAACAACTCCAACATTCTTAATATATTGCCAGCCTTATTAGATGTGTCATGCATATTGAATAAGTGTTTGACGCATTTTCGTACCCAAATAGTTATAGTGTTATGCATGCATAACAAAAAATTCACCTTAGTTAATGATGCCATATATATGAAAAGAACCCTTTGGCCCAATATGTGATGATTCATATTTTGTACTCACATTTATAGTCTTATTGCATCTTCCAAAATATCTTTCCTTCTTTATTTATTTCATTTAGCATGTTTTTGCATTTCTTACTTTAAATTGGAGTTTTTATGAATACTTGTTATCTTTACTTTATATTTCATATTTTCACTATTTTGACATTTGTCCATTATTTCAGCCATAACTTTTTCTATAGATCTCCTTTTTTACTGATTCTTTTTGCAATGGATTCCTGACTTCCTGGGCTTTAATTTGAACATATGGATCATGCTGTTTGGAGTTTGGAGCTATTTTTTTATTAATTTTTAAAGTTCAAATTTAAAACATACCTTTTATATTTAGGGTTTTTATTTAGGGCTTTTATTTAATTACTTGCGGCAGCCTTGGCCCATTTATTTCTGTTTTCATTTAAGACTAGTATATATAGGGGTCAAAAGGTTGATTTTGACCTTTCATTCCTTTTGATAATTTTGTTTTTCTATAAAAACATTTTTCTCGCTTTCGCTCTAACCTTTTATATAATAGGATTTTTATTCTTGGCCATCAGCATGTTTGAGATACAACTCGTTGCCCACTTTGAGCTTTATTAATTTTCTATAGTAACTTTTGTATGTTGAATTGCTTGATAAATTCTCCTCTATATCTCTCATGTGCAAAAAGAAAGAAAGAAAGAAAGTATGAAAAAGAAAAAGAAAAAAAAAAGAAAAAGGGTTATATATGATTGAAAGGAGAGAAGAGTAAAGATATTGTTCACATACAAAAATATAAAAATTACTCCAACAGCTTCATTTGTAAACTTAGAGGATGTTTATAATTTTTATAATTTATTACCCTTTTGTATATTCCCTTTCTTTCATTTATCTCACCTCAATTATTATAACCTCTTGGCCACATAATAACCTGAAAAAGACCTCATAATTATTACTTGCATTTAATTGATTTAGTGGAGAGTTGGTTTATAGTTAAGCCTATGGTAGTACATGTTACTCTTACAACTGTTGTTGTACTGAAAGTAAATTGACTAGCAAGTGTACTAGTGTTGTTGTAGCAAGTTATAAAAAATCTTAGAATCAAATTGAGTTCCAAGTATCGTCCTCAGGGAATAAAGTTCTCAATTACCACTTCACAAGATCACAATTAGTTGAGCTTTACAAATTTCAGATGGATTTGGTATGAATGTATCAAAAACAAAATTAAAAAGTAAAACAGAACAGTTAGTACAAAAGTATATAGTAAACAGATGTAGAAAGAGTAGTTAGGAAATTGTTTCACCAAAACTTCAACATTGAATCAATAAAGTTCTGAACTTTCAAGCATTTAGATGGAATGACAATCGGTTTCACGTTATATTAATCAAAGGACAATCCCTTGCCGCAATGAATCTAACATCTAATCAAATCATTCTAATCCCTTAGATCTAATCCAATCAAATGTTGCATTAAGTTTGAGAAACCAAAAGATTGCAAGATTAAGATATCTTATCCCTAAGAAACCAATAACCTTGGCAATTAATTCAGATCTGAGAAACAAATTCAATTCCCATTGATAAGAGTTCCTCTATGATTAGTTGATCAAATTTTCATTCAATCACTACTTTAACAGCAGAATCAATCACTCAATCCAATCCAAAACTCAAAGTTCAGATCCAAAATTAATTCAACATTTCCATTTCAGATTCACAGTTCCTAATCACAAAGAGTTTAAGCAAACATTACAAAAAGAGAAGAGAAGAAGAGAATGAACAAAGACGAAACATCTTCAAGCCAATCTCCAATCTAATCCCTCAAGAAATGAAGCTTGGTGTTCGTCCTCAATCTCCCTCTCTGACTCTCTCAACAACAAAAACAAATGGAAAATAAAAAATGAACAAAAACTCTCTAAATTCCTGAGCTAACTGCCTTTTATAGAATTCCCGCTTTGCTGGCGTGATCACTTTTTCC